TTGTTATTTTTGGAGTTCGGCGGGATAAACGCGCTCATAATATGTATAGCGCTCATAATAGTCAGTTAAAAACTATCGTTAGATAACTCGACCTTTCGGCTAAATAAAGGCATCATTTTCGCTGCCCTTTTGACTTGCACGGATCGCATATTGTGTTATCGTAACTACTGGTTTAATCTGAATTTTTCTTCTTCACATAACGTCGTTTATCTTACATTAGATAACCAAAATTGGATATAGAGAGGGCTTACTTCCTTTCCCTATAGTTTCGTCAGATTTAGAATATTGTCCGTCCTAGTCTCGACACATCTCAATGGGCCGTATCCAACGCGATGTACAAGTACGACAGAGACAGCCTCGAGTGTAAGATACGGGGAATTGCTCTCGTGAACCTCAAGACGATTATTATTCCCTCGTACGAGAGGCCGAGTGACTCAGTCTCCTCTTCCGATCTGATTAATTGAAGCAGCCTAATTTCTGTATCAAATGCGCGGCTAGATATGCGGCATATACGTTACTATAGAAATAAACGAATTAATGTGAAATACTGTGGTTCTGTACACGTAATATGTGTACATATTTTTTTTCTTCCAGCCGCTTATATTAAAAGACATATATAGAATGTCTTAGAAATATTCTTTGTATGTAATTTATAGACAAAAATCAATATGTGTTCGCATGAGTGAGCTTAGTTGCAAAGAAAAGACGGAACGGGATAATGATAGCCGGAACAATGAGATGCAGCAAAAAAAAATTCTTCTCTATTCTTTTTCAGATAAAAATAGTTATTCAATTTTATTATAGAAAAAAAAATCATTAATATATAGTGGAAGATGAATAATCATTGACTTGAATAATAAGCTATTTAGAGTAAAAAGCAATGGAAATAAAAGATCCGATAAATGACCGGTGTCTTCTTTAAAAGCCGCATTAGGCCAGCGGAATTTCGATTCAATGGTGAATGGAGCCCCTGTTTTACGTCTCCGCTTTTAGAAAACTATGTGATCCATGATGTAGACGAACGATAAAAGCGTCGAAAGCCTTTCACGGGTGAATATTACTTCAATAGATAAAGTCCCTTTCACTTCAATTAATTGTAATTTTGAATTTACTAATTAATGAGAAATTTTTTTAATTATTGAGAATTATCGTAATGTAGACCTTTATATAAAATAAAAAAAATGAACAAATTAAACGCAGGATGTATGAGAGATGTCAAAAATATGATTTACGTTTAGCTGTGAGACACGCTTTGGTTGAAACGTTCTGCGCGATAATTACAAAAATTCTGGTTTCATAATTATAAAAAAACTCTTCTCTCTTGATAATTTCGTCGACGTGATAATGATCTATGGATCGCCACGTGGATCCAGAAAATCTCTCGTAACGAGCGATGCCCGTCTAGCGACGCGCCTGCGCCAGACTCGAATGTCGCGATGGTCGGTGCATCCCCGAGAAATATTCGAATGTCCGTTCAGTTCCATCGCGCCTCACGCTATATAGAGATCAGTTTTGCCCTCGTCAACTCTCGTATACTCTTTTCTTTTTAATTTTTCAACTAAATATCAACATAACAGTTTAATCTCGAATGCTAAGAAATAACATCTATCTCGCGTTTTCATTTAAAAAAATAGTATTTTTAATATTTTTATATCAAAAGTGTTATCTATATGTTAAAATTTTTAATTATTATTATTATTATAACATCGGTGCAAATTTATCAGTTCTTAACATAACATAAGCGTCTCAATAAATCAGTTATGTATTAAATGCTCGTTTACTTCAATCGCGAATAATACTTCTTTTAGTGGTGCGAGATGAATGGATGGAATCGATGAGTGCACGGATCCTAGTATAAGCGAAGTGAAAATGAGGATAAAAGCGGAAGATTATTACGCCAAACGGAGCATCGAATACTTCGGTAATTATCTCGCCTGAAGCATTGTTATTCACAAATTTTGCAAAACACCTTGCATATTGCATAATTAATGATATTTACAAAAGTGAAAATGAAGAATGTTATTTCTGGGCGACGCGCAAGCGTATGCATCTTTCACCAGATTCTTTATGAAGGCGTTAGCTATCGCATCCCGATGTATCCGATGCAGGATACGTGGTATGTTAATGAAATGCAAAACCACTGCGTGTGAGTCGAATACAAAATGCGTTTGAAGTAGCATCAGATTTACGGAGACTTTTTGTCAATTCTTCTTTGTTCAAAAATTATCTTAAAAAATTAAAAGTTAACAGTTGATTAATTTATTTCCTTCCTAATATAAAATTCGTATGTAATAAAATCTTGTAAAAATTAACTTAAAAATGAAGTTTTTATCAATGTTACACTGTTGAAATTTTTATTATTAAAATAAATGTAATATAAATTAAATGAAATTAGAAATAATAATTAATATTCTTAGAATTTTCTATTACAAAAAGAGATTATTCATAAAATTGATTAGAAAATATTTATTTCAAAACAATTCAAAATTGTTTCTGTGATCGTAACATGAAGGACCCAGACCAATAAATTATATTCTGAACAAACAGTACAAATGGATTCTATCGATGATAAATAATGAAGATTTAATTCAGCCGCTATACATATTTGGCTTGCGGTTGTATAATATCGCCATTGTTTGACGTAGTCGAACGCAGAAACGGACGATTCGGATGGAGAACTTGAAATTTAACATGCATCATGCGTACAGAAAAAAAAAATTATGGGCATCGCCTAATTCGTCCTGCCGAAGCCGAGCGTGAAAACAATGCGCGCGGGGTGGGGCTTCGAAATAAACGGTACGATTTCCTCTCGAGAATGGCTTCGGGCAGTCGTACATCGACATCCGCGGGCTCGTCCTCGTTCTCGATAGAAGTCATCGATCAGGAGAGGCAAAGATCTTGTCCTATAAGCCAAAACAACCGCGATGTTATCGAGAGAGTCGCGCAACCGCCAGCGGCGCTCAATCGCGATCGCGAATAAGTAGAAGATTGGAATTTAGACTCTGGTGTTCAAACGGGGGAGGGAGAGTGACGAGAAAACGGAGGGGCTGGTGCGCGTTCTTCAACGACTCGTCTTCTGAATACAATCGGGAGCGTTCACAAGAGAGACGATGGCCGATATCTATGCCAGCCCCCGACCGCGAAGACGAGACCGGCCAATCTTTTTAGATCTTTCCGCGATTACACGTAAGTCGAAGTGCGAGAACGCGAACTCTCGCGAATTATCGCGAGAATTTCAAACATTCCGTGTACGTCATGAGTGAAATCAATGCGTCTTGGAGTAATCTGACGTGCGCCTCTTCGAGTGCGTTGATCTTTTCGCAGCAATTATCATCATTCAGAAGTGACCCGCGACCCACGTGCGTTACAAACCGAGAGCATTTCGCGATATTATCGCAGTTTGTCGCCGTCATGGTTGCCGGACACCGCTGACAGTTAGAGTCGAAATGAAATCCACGAGAAACATAACTTGTAATAACAATTATAATATACATATAATATGAAACATGGCGTAATATAATAATTCAAAATAATGTATGATAAAATATTTCAAGTAATAAATTTGAAGGATAAATTTCGTCTTGTAAGATCATTTTTTATTGTGACAAAAATAATAAAAATAAATACTAGAACTTTTAAAATAAACTAAATAAATAAATAAATTTAATAAACTAAAACTTGTAAATATTTTAGAACTTTTTCAATTAACAAAAAGAAAACAAACAAATAGTGTTATAAATACCAAAAATAAATAGGACAAAAAGAGCGCGTGTTGCGTACGAAGGGATGTTGGAACAAGTAACATTAACGCCGTCAGTTAAGTAATTAAAACTCTACGTAGAGGCTATGTGATATACATGAAATTTACTTTGAGTCTAAAGTGAGGTTTAACTTAGCTTCACGAGTAATGAATCCAATTTCAAACCGGAAACACTAAAAACGGAAGCCACGCGCCTCACGTACCGGGAGTAAAAGTGTCGTGTCGCGACAGTTCGTTAGTAAAATAAAAGACTACAGAACTCTCTCTCTCTCTTTCTCTCTTTTTTCCTTCGTCACTGTTATGAAATATTTTATTGACAATAAATTTGACTTGTTATTTTATAAAATATTCTAAAAAAACGTGCGAGAAACTAAAAATACTGGACGCACTTTTAATAACTTTTCTTTGTTTCATCTAAAATAAATTTTTCTTTAAAAGATTCTTCCATAAAACTTTTTACAATATTTCTTCAAAATATCGGAATATACTTCTAGAAACGTAACTAAGGTAGAAACGTTAATATTAAATACAAAAATGTCTTACAAATGTTAATGTTATAAATGATTATCTGCTGGCATTCAATTGGAGCAAGATTGTCAAGCGTACATTCTCTGTGTCCGCATTACATATCAACAATATCGCGTTAAACTCGTTCAATTGATTCGAGTCACCGGCTGCACAACGTGCTGATTCCGCGTTAGGATTTTACGGAACCGTTTCATCATTCTACGGTCATTGTTTCTCGCGTGTACAAGCACGAGGTAGCCGCGTTATTCACGGCATTATTTCATCAAACGTATTACAACCATGTCGCGTGTTCTGTAATGTGCGTCACACGAAATTAAATGCACTCCCCGTGCGTCACGACAAAGCTGAATCAAGGTTGCTTGTGACACATTTACGGGTAACATTTTGAAAATTAAAGAGCGGTCAAGTAGGACACAGCAAATTAACTAGGCTGAGAAAGCATCTATGATAAAATCATTAACTAATCTGCAAAAAAATGTTAAATAATCAGCGAAAAAAAATTGCATAATTAAACCCGATAATATTTTCAATAGTATTATTTTCAATCGTTTCTCAATAACACTATTCAATCATTTTTGCTTCGAGAAAAACATTTTATCACTTCCATCCTTACCAAATATTATTTACAAACTTTTTTCGCATGTCCCTACATGAGAAGCAATCTTACAGTTACTCGAGTCAATTAATTTGATGTTTCAATTGCTTGTTTCAGGGTCGCATTCAGCTACAGTCTTATCAAGAGACGGACACGTAGAGAACGATGTCGTCTTCGTGTTTAGCAAGGAAAGCGAGGCTTCTAATCTGTGGGTTAACTACCTCACCGCATGTTTCGAGCAAATCAGCCGTCAGCAAGGACGACCGCCGTTCCAGTAAGAATAATATAAAGCGAAATATCTTTATTTTCGTACCACAATTAGAATTCAGATAGAATTTCAATTAATAACGTTTTCTGGCTCAGAGTACGTCACATGGCGATCGAGGAGCCGATAGCGCCGAAAACAGAAGAGAAGATCCGATCTTCTCGCCTCCAGATCGTCGTCGTGTGCCCGATATTGCTGGAACGCGTGCGGACCAACCCGGAGCACATCGTCCAACTGACCAACCATCTAGTCACCGAGAAAGTGCTGGCGATGATGCTGGGCGTTCAAGACAGTCACATCAATGACACTCATAGATCTAGCCTAGTTTCCTACGATCAGTGGAGAAAGTTCTTTGTGAAGGACCAGGACGAGACGTTCGTCGGTGAATTGCTGGGTGCGGCGGTCGCCATTCTAGGCCCTACGCCGCCGTTAGCCCTCAAAAGCGACAAAACTGCATTCTCGGTGCATCCGAAGAAGGTCAAATTGGTAGGTGTAATTATCTGTATACGTCTATAGAAGAAAATTCTTAAATACTTCAGGACAGCTCTCACGATTGCAGGAGATATACAAGAAGAAAATGACAAATTGGAAAAAATTTATTGTTGAAAAGACATCCAGTCTTTTTTTTAGAGTAATTTGATTTTATAATAGCTAAAGAACCTGTCGTTAAAAAAACAATAACGTTCGAATAATGGGACGCTCTATATTTTTGCTCGTAGAATGTATATTGATAAAGTTTGTACGAAAAACACTGGAACACCTGCACATTTTTGATATTTGCATTTTAATAGAATTTTGCGTAAAATTTGAAAATATTGCAAGTACTCAAAAAAAAATATATATACACTATGTTCGCAGGGACAAAATAGGATAATCGTTTTGCTAAACGATCCGTTGAGTCCCAAGGATAATGTCTCTGTGATTGTCGATCGTTGCGGGGATGCGATCGACATAAGCAACGTGAAAAGGAGAAATCCTTACGCGCTGCAATTTTCAATACCAGAGAGATGTCTCGAAGTTTCCATGTTGGTTGGCGTGAGAATAATCAAGAATGGATGCTCGCTCGGCGTTAGGCAAGTCAAATGCGAAAGCAGACTCCGGGAATTGGATCAGATTCTCAGGGCGCACGATAATCCCCTCGAATTTATGTGCCAGGTAATTCGATTTAACGATCTCTACGAGGGTTAATTTAATTTAATATGGATTTTTATGATAATCCAGTCTCTATTTTATAAAAGAAATAATAGACAATTCGTTTTTAGTTCGATCACTTCATCGTGATTATTATAAACAATGAACGAAACTTTTAGACTTAATTCATTATTTTAGATTTAATATATTATTGCGTCTTTTCTATCTATTGTAGACTTTCGGCTTCAGTTCTACTGATCGAGAACAATTTGACAACTGGATGGTCCATGCATTTCAGAAAAATGTCCCTCCTTATTTTAATCTTTTATCAACTCCGAGAGGTATGATGCCCACACATAAAAATTGTACGAGTAAGTAACCCTTAACTTAATAACTGAATGAAAGTTACATATTCGATCGACATTTCTATTTCACCGACAATATACAGTTTTGATTATTATTTTACGATAAGAAAAAAGATAAAAATACAAAACAGCGTGCAAACTTTTTGAAACAGCTATCTTTGAGCAATTCAAATCTTCGTTTTAGGTTCAGAAGAGAATCCGACGCTACTACATTTCGCCGCGCGGTTTGGCCTAGAGAAACTAGCGTGGCAATTATTGGAATGTCCTGGTGGTGATCTGGCGTGTAACTTGAAGAATATTTCCGAGTTGACACCAGCCGATCTTGCTGAGCAAGCCGGACACGCGAGACTGGCCCATCAACTGCAGGGCTACATGGTACAAAAATCTCGCCTTTTAGACGTCGCAAATAATTGAACACAATCGGTATTTATACCGCGATATTTTATTCTTTTCTCAAGGCACCCACGTATCCGTTTTATAAAATTTCCAAAAGGCGCACACTTCAATAAAGGAATTAATTTTATTTAAATAATAATGTATCAAAATAAAAATAACGTCTCATATTTCTTCATTTTATCTCGACAGTTTCAAATATTTGTCTTATTGTGACAAATTTTGACGAAATCTTGAATTTCTATTTAGAGATTAAATGAAAAAAGAAGTAAGAGGTAAATTTTATTCTGATATATTAAATAAGACTTTTTATCTTTTTCTTTTTAAAGTCTATCTTACTTTTCTAGGAATTTCTTTCGCTTATCGCGGAACAGAAATATCTCGGAGAAAAAAACCGCGCGAATTTGCACGTCACTCAATTTAATACTCCTCGAATAATGAATGGTCGATGAGTTAACTAATGAATTAATTCTGCGTTGCATGTTTCGATCGTCACTTTGGACCGTGACTTTTTTCCCGTGGGCAAAACTTCAGCAAATGAACCAGTTAAGCAACATGTATAGCTACTTCAAAGTCATGAGCCAGACAAATCAATCAACAGGTATTAAAAAATATACCGCTACAACAATATTACGCAAACAAACGATTCTGCTGTTCTCGCAAATTGAAAAATTATTGACATTAATTTACTTCAAATTTACATAACTTTGGATAATACTACACGTTTATATGTGCCTCATATGTTAAATATTATTCTACCTTTTTGGCGTACCTTTATGCACAAAAATATCTTTCAAAAAATAATGGTTCGTCCTATATTCGAAGATGTTCAGTAAGAAATTTAAAAAGGAACTCGTTCTCTCATTAGTCTTGAGAGGAATTCGAGGGTAATGCAAATGTGTATTTAGAATCGAATTCAACCACGGACGTCTCATCGACGGTCGCGAACGAAACCAGCAACGAAAAGGAAGATTATTGTCGGCCAAGGCCCTTGAGCGAGGCTTATTCGGTGCCACCGAACGTAAGGCCGGTAACAATTCTGAACCCGAGTCTGCAAACAGCGAGCACCTCTAGTACGACCGCAAACCCCTTAGCCGCAAATTATTCGATCGTGCCGACGCCTACGCCAGTAATTAATAACCAGCTGCCGTCCACACCCACGACCCCGGTCACGTCACACGGATTGAATACGTCTTTCCAGGAGTACATGAAAATGCATGCCGTCGGTAAATATCCCAAACTGTTGTGTACACATAATTCACAGACAATTATTATATAATATATTAAATTCACAGATCACTCTTCTCCCACGAATTCTCTCCACCATAACGTAATTGGCAAGTATTTAAATACTAATGTATATCTTACTCATCAGCATTTCTCTTTTGTATAAATAATCCGCAATAATTCTACATAAAATTATAACAGTTTAATTTATTTTAATTTTTATCTAATCGCATTTAAAAACAAATGTGCGGGGGTACTAAATTTACAATGCGAACCATAATTAAAGGTACAAAACTAGCAACTACGAATCTACCGTCCCGAACAAACACGCCCACTCGCCAAGAATGTTATCAAAGTTGCTCGGCAGCACGAGAGGACATTTACGGTCAGAAAATGTGTCAGAATCTTCCCTACGGTAGAACATCGTCCAACAGTAGTACCAAGTCCAGAGAGCCGTCAGGTCCCCAAGACGAGCTCTTGGAAATCATAAACGATTTCAAAAACAACGTCTTCACGATATCCGAAGTGGAGAGACTCGTCGAAAATTGGCGTAAGCGAAACGACGTTCAGCAAAGTTTCAAGGACAAGCAGCGACAGCTCATGGCGATGCGGGAGGAATACGACAAAATACAAAAGAAAATGAAAGAAGAAATGAGAACCCCGACGCCCTTCGACAAGATACGAAAATTCTTCTCCAAGGGAAAGAAAGGTGAGTGTCACTATACTTTTAGAACATCCATTTTTATCTGGCTGCAGATTGCCGAAACGAAAAAACAACTGAAAAACTTTTCAACTGATTTTTGTTATAGATACAAAGGAGTCTGCTGGAGTTGCCACCGATTCCTCTACGAGCAAATCCGAAAGTATTAACGGCGGATTAGCTGATCGCCGGCCTGTCAGCAGTTTAAGTCTTCGTAGCGTCTCTAGTAAGTAAATCCAGCATAATAGATAACATTATCTAACAATTCAATAGACTATATTAAATAATAATTCAGATTATCCTTAAGATGTTTTTTAAAGTAAACGTTCTAAAAGTCTTACAAAATACATTTGAAAAACAATTTAGAAATTGTATATATATTTAAAGATCTTTTTAGATATTTTTTAAACTTATAATACTCTTATGTAAATAATTGGGTACGTTGTGTATAATTCTACGAAATTTCTTAGGTTCATCGTCATCTGGCAGAATGAGCACTGTCAGCGGTTGCAGCGGTGCAAGCTTGGGCGACAGTGGAACCCATTCCGATTCCGAAGACAGAAGGGTACGTGCGGTATAAATCAAAAATAATCAATCCAGCTAAATAATTATCGATCAACAGAATAGATCAAAGAAATAAAATAATTACTAACAAAGTGTGATCCGCATGCCTGAAATTGTAATTTTTGCCCCAAAAATTCATTTTTTTATACGTAGAAATTGTGCTAGTTATTAAAAATAATATTCAATACCATTCAAAATCAGGTATTAATTTTATATTTAAAGAAAAAATATAATCTTCGAAAGAAATTACGCATTGAAAAAGATATAAAACAGCAATATTTTTGCGTTATAAAGTTAGATCTACATTTTTTATTTCTAGCTCCAGAATGTCAGGGATGAGAAAACTGGCATGACGTCCTACGAAATACCACCTGCGCCTAAACCGTACACAGGCAGATATTCACCGGCATCCGGGTATTCCCCATCGCCGAGTCTTTCTCTCGCGCGTGATCTTGATCTCCGACGAACACAGTCACCGTCCAGGGCCAACGACAACGAGTATTACATTGCGTTCCCACCGTCGGGATTACCTGTTCATGGTAAATTAATCGAATCATATTCATTCCTATTTATTCTATCATCGTCCCGAACTATATTCCGAGAAATATTGCAATTGAAGAAATATTTATAATAAAGAATATTAAAAAAAATCAGGCATTGTTCAGATGTCTCAACAATATCTTATACCCACAACATTATCTTGTAGCCATTTAGAGCCACAATTTAGACTTACAGAAATGCTTAAAAACTCTCAAAGATTAAGTAATCTGCAATTCAACTTTCGCAGCGTTTAAAACGGATGGTTCTTCGAGGGAACCGGAGACGCCGACCTCGCCACGCGAGCATCCGATGGATATCAATAATCTGGACTTTGTCCAGAACGTCGTCGCCTCGCCAGCGGACAAACGCCAGGAAGAAACCGAGGCGACGAAACGCGCTAGCAGTAATAGCTACACGAACATCGAACCGACGGCGTCGAATGTCACTCCAATCCTGGCGCCGCCGCCAGGAATGTGCATTCCAGACTGCACGGGCAACGAATCGACGTCCATCGATTCCGTTCACGTGGATCGGAAAGCCGCGGACGAACATCTCGACAATACCGCCGAGGCGTGTCCCGACGCCGCGAAGGTGATGCCGCCGCTCGCTCAACCTGCCGTTGACGAGGTCGACTCCGCGCTCGCTGTTCAAGGTCGAAAGACCGCCGAGACAATGCGCGATGAGGAGCACGTGCCGGTGGATTCGGCGAATATTTCGAAAAACACGAATGAGGCCACCGAGACTAGAATGCCGGACTACATGAACCTTGCTGTTAATATGGGTCACGATGCTCCCAGGGTTCTCGGCGCCATACCAAAGAAGTTGCCTGCACCACCCGTGCCACCGCGAGGTACAATCTTTCACACTGTTTAATTCCGCGCGACTTTTGTAATGCAAAGGTAAAGCTAATCGTTCAACGATCAAGTCAATAAAAATATATCTAAAAATAATAAGTATCTAGAGACCGTGGAATGTTAACTAACAATTGATATCTAAAAATATTAATGTAAGATCTATACAGCAACATTGTCCTGTTTTCATTTTTCTCTCGAATTTCTCTTGTTTCATTCTTGAAATGAAAAAAATCGCAAACTTTATTGTTAAATAAAATTCGCAATAAAATTTAATAAATAATCGCGTATTTAAGACTTATTATGAATAATTGAAACTACTTAATGTTTTTTTTTTTCTAAACGTATTTGTATTCAATTTAAGATTCACCTATTTAGATAAGCATTAAATCTCGTAAATGTGCAAAATAAATCAGTGATCTATTGTAACAAATTTTAATGCAATTCTTCAAGAATTATTTTCTCTCAAGTCAAGAAACAAAATTACGGGAATTTCTGATGAGTCGTGATTGAGAAAGATGCCAGTGATTCATACGAGAGAGTGCAGTCCTTATTTAGTGATTTTATCCTTAAAGCATTTGGAAATCTGAGTTATTTATGTCACACATCAGCTATAGACTACTCAAATCACTTGTTAGAGTACGTGTTCTATCAATTTCCTTAGTGCTATAATATATAACGCACATTTTTGTGATTTTGAGAAACAAATCAATTTCAATTATGATATATAAACATATACGTAATAAAAAATGTTATAATTAAAATAGAGAATTATAGACATAAAAAATGAATATAATTATATATTCCAGTTTATAATTATAGATTACTTTATCAAGCCTGTTTTCAATGAATTTTTATTACCTATTGTAGTAATATGAAGTTTTATTACCTATTGCGACTAATTGTAAGAAGTAAAAACTCAGAAATCGAAACTTATATAAATATTCGTTGACAAATTTTTATGCAAATTGTATATTGTGTTTTTTTATGTTTAAAAAAAATTATGACTGAAATATTGTAATATTAATAATATAAATTTAACCAATAAAGTTTATATGTGTCTGACGATAGTTATAAGTATCTCGTCGTGCTCGATATAATTGTATGTGGCATAATATATCTATCTATATAAAAGTATAGCCGTACAAGTGTAAGACAATGGTTATCGCAATTACCATTGATCAATTTCATTTTTATAGATACGCAGTAAGTTTTGAAGAATTCGCAGATTCTCCAAAAAACTATCCGAGTCCGCCCGTCCGATATTATCCACGCGAGGCAGTAATTAATTCGATTACTCCCTTCGCAGATTAAAATATTGCAGATTTCAATTAATATAATACGCCCATGAATTTCGGGATACATGACGTGATTCAAACTGAGATCGTAAACTGTTATACAATAAAGCGGACTTCCTCGAATCCCGCGTATGAGAAATATAGTATAAGAAAAGAATAATTTAACCTAAGCAGCAGACAATGTTTTTTAAATATTTTTTTAAATATTTATTTAATATTATAATGTTAAATAAATAAATATTTTAAAAACGTTTAAAAAACATTGTTTGTTGATTGGGAAGTAACCAGGGGCGCAAAAAATTTACGAAAATTTTTATTCCGTAACGCAAAGATGTCGATCAACCGGAAACGACTGTAAAAATTGATGATATGCTTTTTTATTATTTTTTTTTATCATTACACGGATGATGTATATGTATAATATATCGACAACGTGTCACGGTGACATGTTGTCCTACTTTTTGCATGAAAAAATGTTAAGTCGCACCCGTTTGTAGATTACAAATGTATTTTTGCACCCTCTGGTTTACTTCCCTCTGGTTACGTCCGTGCAAACATCGAATTCAATTCCCAAAAATGTCGTACTATTTTTTGTATAGCATAAGAACGATATCAATTAAATTAACTGGCAGTAATTAGGTTTTAAATTTGATTTATATATACTCTTTATATCGTCTCGACTTCTCAGGTACGGAGAGGCTTGAGTACCAAGGATGCATTTATTATTAATTTTTAAGACTAGTACGTAACCGTAAATATATTTGATACTACATGTATTTTTTATTACAACCCGCCGACAGTTTTATTTTATATTTATGTATGTGCTGGTAAATTGATATGAAAATATATATAGGAACATGTCCGAGACCCAGTTTTCATTGACTCACCTACAGCTACACTTCCGTTACACTTCAAAAGACGCAGTAATGACACGAGGCTGGAATGACGACACTCGTTAATGTAAGTTCCTCTCTTTATGCGTGATATAATCAAGTCCGTTATATATGATGTAATGGCGGATAATAATCAGACTAATGTGCAATGCCACCTTTGATATTTACTGCGGACGTTGCGGTTAGGTTGAAAATGAATTTGTGTGCGCTTTGAAGCATTATCATATTACTACCACGATGGATCTTCTTCCGGAAAACCGCTCCTTTTTGTTATTGCTATTAAACCAATAAAGATATATATATGAATGCTTATGCGAGCCTCTGTCGTTATTAGTGCATATACAAAATAAATACATTTCTCGTGTGAATATATTGAAATAAAAAGTACAAACGTTTCGATCTCAATCTGAATCCTCTTTAATGTAACAAAGTCATTAAATTATAATGAGTGTTTCCAGCGGACTTGGCTGTAATCCCTCTTCATGGTTCAATTATATGTTTAAAAATTTAAGTTTAACAAAGAATAAAGAGAGATCACCATCGAAATTAAATATAAGTGATAAATGGACAAGTTTTATCCATTTACTTCGATGATCCCTCTTTGTCTTAAATTTTTAAACATATGGCGCATGTAACTGATGATAATTATAAAGAGAGATTACAGCCGATTCCGCTGGAAACACTCATTATAATTTAATGACTTTGTTACATTAAAAGGATTCAGATTGAGATCGAAACGTTTGTACCTACTTTTTGTTTCAATATATACACTATTTACGTGAAAAATTGTACTTATTTTACATACGCATTAATAACGGCGGAGGCTGGCATACGCACTCATACATCTTTATTGATTCATTCACTGAAGCCATTTCACGTTTATTTTTAATTTATATTATTATTTAAGTTTGTTTTAAAATTAGATAAATACGATTTTGCAGTGTAGATTCACTAAATTTCGATTCGTTAAAATTTGTCCTTTTTTTAATTAGTTAAACGCATTACTCATATTCTTTGATATCTTTATCAATAAAAGAAAGAATTCAGAACTTGAAATAAAAACAGCAAGTTCTAACATGCTATATATTAATAAATTAAAAAAAGAAAGTAACGTTGCCTTCTCAAAGAAAATAATATTTTTCATTAAAAAGGAAATCTCATCGTAAAGGAAACAGTCTCGACCGTATAACCGCGTCCTTCCGTCCGACTAAATTGGGACCCTCATTAATTAAAGCTTTAACTACAGTTGCGGTTACGGTTCACCACCGTTTTCCGATTGTAGCGATCCAATGTCATTCAAAGGCATATCTGGTATGTATATTACGTGGAAATAACAGTTTCTAAAATAGAGGTAACTCCCTGACGCAATCGCGCGAGAAACGTCAATAATTGCATCTAATTTTATTTTAAATAAATATATCGGAAGAGAAAGACGAAAGACGATATTGTTTCAAAATAAATAATAATTATTTTAAATTAATCGGATACGTACATATATAGCATTATAAAGTTGCGCGCGGAAATAAGCGGTGAGATGTTTAATGTTCGTCGTGGAAGGGGAAAAGACGAAGCTGACGACGACGGGCATATATATCAGAACATACCGTTCTGTTGAGTGGCAAAAACGAGAAGGCACTGATCACCTTTGCTACCTACCGGCTGTATCTCTCTCGAGTATAAAAGTATGACATAAACAAATCGTATACTTTTAGTGTATTATCGTTTTATGTGAAGAGCGTGGTTTCCTCCGTCCGCACGTTTCTCAGGCGAACAGTGTATTGCGCATTATCATAAAATAGTGAAGCGCGAATGTCGAGGGCAAGATAAATAGAAGAAGATAAGCCGGCATACGGCAAGCAATCTCTTAGTGTTGCATTGTATATAAACTCTAGATTAGTCTATGAACGTGAATCATTACTATTTAATATTCTTTCATTTTTTTTTAAAGAGTTCTTATTTGTATTTCCCCTTTTCTACCACCAAATTAACATTAGAATTATATCATAAAACCATCATTAAAATTTATCTTTTTTAAATAATTCCTCTGGAATTTTATGATGTTTAATATTTGTAAAAATTATCGAAATTTCCGACTTGCTCATTCCTATTAAAAATGAAATATTTGTCATTCATAGCTTGCAATACGCAGGATCACAAGTGCTATATATAGTGTCCGGCAAAAGAATGAAGTTGCTAGGCGTGTCTCTAGTCTTTGTGGCGACGATTGCGGTTGCGAGTTCGCAAACCAGATACGCGAACAAACCAGGTTCGTGTCCGCCTGCCTTACCTGTGCAGTTCTGCGGACGATCCTGCTACGTTGACGCACATTGCACTGGAATCGGCAAGTGTTGTCCGACCCGATGCGGCGGTTCCATCTGCTCCATGCCCGTCACGATGTCGCAACCTACTCGAACAGGTGAGTAATTTCCTTGTCGCATTACGCCAGATTTGTGTCACTCTGAAACGGAAACGTCGATCTGACATTTTAAAGTGAATGCAAAATTTGTCATAAAATTTAATGTGATAAACGAAAAAAGAAAACAATTATTTTTGTAATTTTATCAGTACACTTTAAAAAAGTATTTGATTTATATAATTTTTTGTATTTCTTTCTGTTTCTATTGTAACTTATAAAGAAGGTGCTTTAGAAAAAGAAACTATTCTGTTAATATTAATTCTCTGAAGAATTACAATTTAGGCAATTTTTTATTGTCACTATGTCATAATTGTTGTGTTGTGTATTACCAGAATACTGCGATAATATTTGTAGAAAAGAGCAATAAATCATAAAATTTACTAGTTGGTAAATAAAAGATTGAATAATTTTTTGTGCAGAGAAACCAGGATCTTGCCCATCGGTACCGACGGGAAGATGGGTTTGTTCATCGACTTGCAATAGCGACAACGATTGCAGAGGAAACTTAAAGTGTTGCAAAAACAGATGTGGAGCCCTAGCCTGTCAGAAGCCGGAAACTAAATCCGAATTCGTCGGAAATCCAGTTGAACCACTTGTTCCCCGCTTCGGAAACGATTACATTGATTATTATCCCTAATCACGATTTTTATGTGCTTATTACATTTATAATAATTATAACATCCATCATTAATTTCAAATCAAACGATCATGTCTATAATAAAATAATTTTAGTAATAATTTTATTTGTATCTTAATAACGTTTACTATGTTATAGGTACACATTCTATATATTTTTATTAATAATCTTTTCGTCTGTAATTAGATGCAGTGCAACAAGGAGACAAAATTACAATTTGTATCGTAATTTACGCGATTATATTTTTGTTACAAAAAAATTGAAATTGACAGAAATTATTAACCTAGCTTTACAGAGATTCAAATTGACAGAGATTATTAAACTAGTTTTACAGTTTACACTATTAATAAGATAATCTGTATTTCTATTTTTTAATTTATCTACCATGTTTCAAAATAAATCTATCAAGCAAACAAAATAGTTTAATAAAAATTCCTTATTTGAATACGCATACGAGCTGAAGATAAGCCGGCATACGGCTCACATGAACTCTCCGAATTGTAAATGGGATATAATGGAACATGTACGTAATTTCAAGATTAGTTTCAAGATTTAGTTAAATATGTAAGATGACTATTATGGAAGAAGACCAAGTTAGGTTCCGTCAAAATGTCCTGTTGTGATTTATCACATAATGTAATAACAAAAAATATTTTATACTGATATCCAAAATTTGCTTGTTCATTGAATTGATATATATTTTTGAAAATACGAGCGATTTATATTATTTTTAATAAAATTTGTATAAATAAAAAAGGAAGCTATTAAAGGATATCCAGAGGAAACTTTAATAAATCTTTATAACTAATCAATAATTCTAATAAACCCACTCCAAATCCAAGTGTGTAAATCTGTAGTCACTTTTTATGCATTTAAACGCATGTTATATTTTTACACATTTTATCTGTGTTTTACATAGTTAAATGCATATTTTTTACACGCTTACACATATTATTGTAAAATTAAGCGTGTAAAAATATGCATTTAACTGTATAAAACACAGATAAAATGTGTAAAAATATAACACGCGTATAAATGCGTAAAAAGTGACTACAGATTTACATACTTGGATTTGGAGTGCAGTCTGATATAAGCAAAGGCCAAGGTTTATACGCAAGAATAGCATTAAGAAAAACATATTTTTTTACGAGATTATGAGATTTTTAATGGATACGATTTAGAATCGTATAAAATGCCTCGGCATATAAATATGTCTCGACGCGATGTATTTAATTACTCATTAACCTTCATTTTTAAATGATTGCTTTAGTAGACAATTTAATAAATATTAAACTTCGACTCCGCGTGAACTCCATGTAATTATCACGTAATTAGCCTTGAATATATTTGACTAATCGATAACTATTTGAGGCAATAAAGATTGAATAATCATGAATACTAAACAGCTTAATTAGAATGCTAATTAGTTATTCATGAAGTACGAAAGCTCAATAACGAGATTTACAAAAACAAAATTTACGAAGACAGTTCTATAATATATTAATTACACTTTCGATCAATAATCAAAAATAATTTGTGATAAGTAATTAGATAAGATATCATGTATCTTATCTACAAAGCTATCCGGATTTTTTCTAAAAAATCGTTTTTTAAAAAAAAATAGATATAAATTATAACTATTAAAATATGAATTAATAAAAAAGAAATGAAGAAAGATATTAATTAAAATAAATGCAGATTAGATATTATATTTTCGGTGTAACCTTCAACAATAAAAGCAATCGTACCGCTTGATTTTAAAAAGCACACAAACTCTTGTTATTACAACGTAATGAAATTATAATGCCAAATTACGTAAAATGCCAAACAACGTAAATGAAATTATAATGCCAATTACGATTGAGAGGCTTAGCGGCGCATACTATATCCGTGTTTATGTCTCTATCATTTACGTCACGTTGCAACGTGCGGAGAAAGAAAGAAAAAGTGTTCGAGTTCAAGTAAACGGTATCGCGAGAGGACTTCCCTGGACCTGTCCACACTTATAGACTGCAAACACGAATTGCGATTCATTCGTTATGTATCTCCTCTCGTCGTGTAATTACTCAATGCCAGAGTAGAGGTGGAGATTGTTATAAAAGCCGGTGCTTTTATCATCGCGCGTCTAGAAGCCTCACCGCGGAGTTTTAATCAAGTATCCCAGAACGGCCCGTAAAATGAATCGTGAGTAATTTAAGTTGTGCAACCTTGAAAGTTACACGACGATGCTACGCACGTCTCGTGAATACAATACGCGACTTCTACGTAACATCATTAGCATAATTCCTTAATCTTAACCTTAGTACGCCACGCTTCGGAGATTCGGTGGCAATTAATTTGTGTTTTGGCTATACGAAAGCACCAAATCATAAATAATTCATAAATACAAATATAAATACAAATAATTGTACATTCATATAATTATAGATGTACACTCAACTCCGCGTCATCAAAACAATTATGTAATATTAAATAGTTATGTGTATTATCGATACTGTAATTAATTTCTGTAAATGACATTTGTGACAAGCCTCTTTTTCAAGCCATCGCACATAAATTGGATTTTCGTCCCTGGAATTAACATATAGACTTTGTGTAATATTTACTTTCCAGGAAGCTTATTATCGTTCGCGGTAGTGCTGATCTTGCTGGTCGCCGGCACGTTCTCTCAGTTGTTTTGTAAGTAAACGCTATCACTTACCGAAGAAACACCGAGTGCAAATGTATGCAATTGCGTTTTTGTGTAGCTTTCGGCGTATAAATTCTAGGAAAACCCGTTTTATTTTCAACTCGTGCTCTCTCTTGTTTTGCCTTAGTCGCGAAATTAGCCAAAAATACAATAAACGCATCAAGTTTTACATTTTAACAAAAAGTTAAAATTCTACAGTGATTCTCTGCCTCCTTTTTGCCACACACAAATTGAATATAATAATAATTATTTATTCTCTTAAAAATCTTTTGATTCTTAACAATTTATTATATTTGGAAAGAATTAGCTCCTCGATCTTTTCAGCCAATAATAATCGAGTTCAAACTTTTTACAAGAAAAATTATATATATTCTTCCTCAATTCTATCATGTACGTGGACTTCAAACTTTCGTAATTTGGATTTTCCTTGCAAGACGCGTATCGAAAAAAAGAATGACGGTAGTCGACGAAGAACTTTAATGAATGTTTAAAGCTACGTAATATTCAATTATAGTATCCTCGCGTGTGTACACGTCAGCGAGATGAATGTGTCGATTATGACTATAGCTATACAACTCGCAATCGATTTGCGAAACTATTAGAAATTAGAGCTTGCGTACTATCATCTGATCAAAATGTTCAAAATGCAGAAAAATAGCGCAATTATTTCTTAATAACAATGCAATAACGATGCAATGAGCAATTAGAAATTATATTCATAAAGGTACAATTTCATGCTGACGCTCGACGCTCATTTTTAGCGTCGAAATAGATTACAGGATCAAAATTGACGCTTGGATATCCGTCAATTTTAATCACGTTATCTGTTTTGACGCTAAAAATAAGCGTCGAGCTTAAGCATAAAAAGGTAATTCTCTAATTATAATTACAAACATTAATTGCTAATAGCGTAAAAAAAATCAACTTGCGAAAATCGTAAAGGCTCGGATGAAATGAGAGACCAAACATAAATTAATCCGACGAAAGTCACGGAGACGAAGCTTCTATAAAGGTACCTTTTCATGCTGACGCTCGACGCTCATTTTTTTAGCGTCAAAACAGATCACATGATCAATAAATGACGAATACCAATAAGTATCAATTTTGATCTCTGTTTTGATCTCATGTGATCTCTGTTTTGACGTTAAAAATGAGCGTCGAGCGTCAGTATGAAAAGGCACCTTTAATCAATCGTCAATCGTCCTGCAGACAAGAGCGGCAACTGCCCGCTGAGGAACACCGTGACCAATTGCGTCTCCAGGTGCATCGGGGACAGCGACTGTCCGTCGAATCAGAAATGCTGTCCGAACAAATGCGGCTTCACGTCGTGCGCAAATACCAGCCCCGTCAACACCGGCAGCGACGGTGGATACAAGGGCTCGAGCAGTACGTATACATATTATATACATATATACGCAAGAACTTTATATCCTATTCCGTTTTTACAATAGAATTTGCCCTTTGCGTAAAGTAGGACTCGACAAAACGCTTCGCGTTAACTTCTATCGCGATCATAATCGGGTAATGTCCATTTCTACCAATGTAGATTAACTTTAATCACGGTTTTATTTACTTTTTATCTTTTTGCAATTCTTAAAAGTAGAAAAAGATACAAAGTAAATTAAACCTAGATTAAAGTTAATCTACACGTTGGTAGAAATAGATATAAGACAAGGTACTTGATCTCCGCGCTCATTCTCGAGAAAGAATTTTGAGCGCAAAGAAAGCGGATTCAAACGCACGTGGATGTATAAAAAGAAGAAACGCACCGTGCGATCTCGTCGGTTTTCCGAGCGTCGTCGAATTATAACAAGTACCTTCCCGTTCCGTGTTTTTTACAGATCAGCCCCAGGCCGTTTACTGCAACGGAGTAAAGTGCGCTGCGTACGAGAAGTGCCTGTATGACCGCAACACCAGACGCGACAAGTGCACGCGCGTCTAGCGTTGCATGTTCGCGAATTTACTCGAGCATTTTTATTAGCAAACTGCACTTCCGAACTTGACCACAATGAGTTAAGCAATTATTATACAAAAGAGGAATTAACAGACCGGTCTGCTTAAAAAATATGCAAGATCGCGACACAGTTAACATACAACTATAAAATTTTTACATTAATAAATCGATATATATATATTAAATTCGTAATTTTCTAACAGAGGAATTAACAGACCGGCTTAAAAAATATGCAAGATCGACACGATTAACATATAATAACTATAAGATTTTTACATTAATAAATCGATATACATATTAAATTCGTAATTTTCTAACAAGTTAGAAATTACGAATTTAATATATAGATATTGTATTTTTTATCTTGCTGACGTAGGCTTAGTTGCAATTTGTACGTGAGGCTTGAGGAATGTTTATTATTTAAACAAATGTTTTGATATTAAAGAATTGAGTTACGAAAGCCATATATGTTTAATGTGTACATTTGCCTGCCGCATTTAACTCTAATTGTAAAAGAGATAACAATATCAATATTTGTCACTGACACGCACCTGTACTCGCGTTGATTTAGCAATAAAATTCTACGTAGATCGACGATGCTGCATGTGTCTGTCGTTTGCGAGCGTCCGCTTGCCCTCCGCTAACCTCAGTTCAGCGAGTGATGTCGACTGAACTCGGCGCACTCGGTTATTCCGGCGATTAACTTCAAGCGATACGCCCGCTTTATGGGACAAAAATTAATATGGACTATCAATTTTATGTTATCCGACAAGAAAGATTCGACTTATAAGAGGCAAGTCGTATAGCTAGTGATTTCGCTCTCTGGTCAAGTTGATCCAACTCGCAAAATCAGATCCTTTCAACTTATCTCGATCGCGTCAATCGATATCGAGAGCTCGTTCGATATCGAGCGATCGACCTGTCGACCGACACTGGACAACGTAATCAGCAACGTTGAAGGGAACGACGAGCCGAGGAATGTAGGTTATGTGCATCCCAGGCCAGGCAGGGCGGCTCGAGGTCTCTTCCGGTTCCACTGATAAAATCGTGACCCGCGCGCAAAGGAACGCGGGACGATGTGAGGGCGAATCGACGGCGAATCGTCCCGGACTCGCGAGATGGACCGCCGATGCCGCGCCCGGTAACCGCCCGGTAAACCGTCCGTCTTCCGGCTCCCGGGAAGGAGGAGAGGTTAAGCTGAGCTCTCCCTCCGTCCGAGCCGACCGAAAATGGCTGTGGAGTTTCTAATGAATCGGCTCAAGGCCCTGCTCGTGCTGCTCTTCGGGATGTTCAAGCGCGCGATGTGCTGCCTCCGCCGTCGAAGACGATCGTCCTGCGACTCCGTGCCCCTGTCCACCGTCGGCGTGGTGCCGAACGTCCTGACTAGCTCGACGGTATACTTACTCACTATCCTAGCACATACGCGGTGTCTCTCTCATGTAAGATGCATGAGAACGATGTTGCAAGAATCTATTTTTCACGCAGCTGTAAATATAATATATAAATACGTTCTTGTTGATATTATTAAAAATATTTACAATGCCGTGAAAAGCAAACTGAAAAAAAGGCATAGTGTCTTTGTAAACAGTCTTCACGAGTTATTGAAATGAAGGACATTGTTGCTTGCGTGTCCGAGCTTCATGATGATGCTTCGTCAAGTGTGCTTTATGTTTAAGGAATTGGAGCAGTGGGACAAGTGGGAGGAAAGTCCAGTCGTCGTTATACCGGACAAACCGGTTAACACGGTACAAGCAGCGATAGAGCAGTATCGACAGCAAGTGAGCAAGCCTCCCGAATCGCCCACTGAAGAACAGCTTAACTTTTTTGAGGTAACCTCGAGATTAGTTCTAGTAAATCTCTTGTTCGCTTCGATGAAAAAAAATACACCAAAGATTTTTACTTCCGAACCTTGCGCAGGATATGACTCCAAGAATCACTAGGCAGACAAAGATTCTAATAAAGGATAAACATGGGGACGGTTCGTCTCACAACGCTGCAAATTTCACGGCCATGGATCCTGCTCCAACCGTAAGTCCGTAACTCGTATGCGAACTTGTAACGCTCCAGAGCCTCACGTTTCCGTCGATATTGTGTTCAGAATGAATTGGACGAATGGGAGGAGAACGCCGCCGGTTGGGAGGTGGACGCCATGGACGACTTCAATGACTCCTTCAAAGTGCTGCGAGAGCAGAGGAGGCGAGAGCGGGAGCAGCGATTGATAGAACAGCAGCAGAAAAGACTGGAACGTACCGCGAAGCCGCAACTCTTGGGTGCAAAACTGTGTTCCTGATGCGAGACCACGAATACATGGGGATTAATATCAAAATACACAATAATGTACAATTTAATGGGACAACACATGCCGGATATTTTTAATATAGAAATTGGCATGTTCATATTAACTCTCTATTACTCGATGTCGCGTGTCAATTTTATTTTCTCTTTTTTTTATTAATTGCTCGTTGCTAGTTTAAAAATGTGACGCGAAATTTCATCTCTGAATCTGACATCTTAAAATACAGATCTTTTTGCTATTTTATCCTGTGCTTTGGTATATTATTGTTATATTAATGTATTAAGCATTTTCAATCTTCCAAAAGGGCACTAGAGGGTTAATCGTGACAGAAAATGCAACACATTTACTTGAGACAGAGTGATGACGTTGCATTAGTGTATTATGTTAAGTGTATTATACTTTTGTTATCTTTTAGAAGATTAACTTGTTTTGTTATGCCGTCTAATCCGGGCGTTGTAAATGTATTCGCGGACATTTCTCAGTATTTCAGATATTCACACGGTTTCTCTTAATACTTCGTAAATGTAAACGCAAGAATAACGTGTAAACAGCGTCGATTTGATTATCCCTCCTAAAAATAGTAGTATTTGTAAACATTCCATATGAATTTTGTACAATATATATCTCGAGTGCGATGCGTCTGAACCTCTGCGTGAACGGAAAATAATCGTTTTGTAAGTTTATAATAAGTCGATGATATAGTAACCAGGCGAAATCTGTTGGATTGCAATCACAAGTATTTTTGTTACGAATCTAATCTTCACGGATTTTACTAGAAGTTGAAAATTTCTGAAGGTTGGAAAACGAGAGAGGCGTTTTTTTTGCGATGTTCAACTTGTTATATTTTTGTTCTTTTTGTTATTCACGCACGAGTGCTGAGAAAACTGCATGAATCATGGATATTTTAAAGTGTTTCGTAATAAAAAAAAATTCGTTCACATTTATATTTGGAAATACCCAACTCTCGAACGTTCCACGTCCACGTGTTGATTTTAAAGGATCTTTGCTCAACAACCGCAAAAATCAAATTTAACCGTGCCAAATTTTGCGTGACGTGCACAATGCAAAATTGTGTTTAAAATAATTAAAATCTCACAAATTGGATTATCGAGGAACGCAACACCCTAAGAAATTTTAAAAATAATTTCGATCAAACTTTAACTTATCAAATAATACCCGCACTATTTTTCATCAACTAAATTATTAATTTTTTGTTGTAATATATAAAAAAAAAGATTAAAATCACACAATAAAAAACCGTTAGAAATTTTACCTTAAGGAATTCCGGTTGAATCAATCGTCAATCAAATTAATCAGAGTTCAGAAGTCGTTTTCAATCACTCGAAGTGTCTCGAACCCATCAGCCGCCCGTCTGCGGGTGTATGTGTATGTGTGAGTGACCAGTGCGTAGTGCGCCTCGTCCACGCGAGTCACGTCGATCCGATATTCGTCACGCGCGCGGTAACGTCAACCGTCAACGTCAACATCGGGGGAGCGTCGGGAGGTGGTAAACAGTAGTGAGCCGTCCGTCAGTGGCGCGCCGATGACGCGTGTCATCAGTCCCCGATCGCCTTCCCGATCGTTCTTCGTGTGCTTCTATTTTAAAATTCCGACCTAATATATTTAAAGGTCACGGACAGCTTCGAATCATCGCCGATCCCGAGGAGAGGGAATCGGAATATTCGGAATAACAAAAATCCGATCGGAAGCGCGCAACGCACGTCGCGCCACACGGTTCCCGCCGGAGACAGCTGGAGTACAGCTGAGGGCTCTACTGGGGCGATCGGCTGTTATAATACGTGTTCGACGAGATCAGACGAGATCGTCGGAAGATTCCTCGCGCGGGGAGATTCCGCGGTGCGAGAACCCCGGGTAGGGGGAGAGCGTCGAGGCTCTCCCAGGTATGTCAACGGCGGGTCGTCGGTGAATTTCGTGGAGGGAGAGAGAGCGAGAGAGAGAGAGAGAGAGAGAGAACGACGGCGCGGGGAAACGGTAACCACACGACGAGATAACCAAGCCGATAGCGAGCCGATGATAGGCTTGACTCGTGTAAACACGGCCGCGTAGCGCAATCATGAACGACCGCGATCCAGTCGGGCTTCGCGGACGATCGGCGTTCGTCCGGTGAGGGAGCGAGAGGGTAAATTTCTGCTTCTCGTCGGTCCAAGCGAGTCGGGGGGCACTCGCGGCTCGCGCGGACAGAGACGCGCGCGATCGCCAGACGTGTGTGTACACATCGTACACATACTGCACGCGCACGCGAACGGTGGTAACACAGGGGGATTGATTTCCAGGTACCACGGTGCCCGCCTTATCTGGAACACGATGTGCCGCACGATAAGACCGGCAGCGTAATCGGGAACCTCGCCGGTGACTCACTTTTCGATGTGAGGTATACATTAGATCTGAAATCATGTAAAGTGGGATGTCGAGCAGCAGCATCGCCGCAGCATAGTTCGTTCAGTTCGCGAAAGAGAAGGCGCAACGATGGGTTCCATCGCTCTGGAGGAGTACGAGTTGATGAAGGACTCGAAGTATCGGGTGTAAGTAGAGAGCACGATTAGCACGTTTAGCACCGCTGACGCACATGCGACCTCGGTAAAACGTTATTTGTACAACGTTGCAATAATTCAGCGTCTTTCTGTCCTCCGGTTAAGAAATTCGTTGAGATATGTTGTGTTTTTCACACAGCTACGTGTCCGCTGTCGACAAGGCCCTGAAGAGCTTCGAGTACACGAGCGAATGGGCGGACCTGATCTCCGCCCTGGGTAAGCTCAACAAGGTGTTGCTGAGCCATATGAAGTTTCCTGTCATACCAAGGAGAATCAAAATATCGAAGAGACTAGCCCAATGCATGCATCCGGCGTTACCCTCCGGTGTTCACTTGAAAGCTTTAGAGACATACGACATTATTTTTAAGTGTATGGGCACTAACAGGCTCAGCCATGAGCTCTTCATCTACAGCGCGGGTGAGTATTGTGGATAGAAGAAATAATTACAGGCTACATTGACACATTCCTTATATTTTATTTTATCCTCGATCAGGGCTGTTTCCATTATTGGGTCACGCTGCTATGAATGTCAGGCCGTCATTGTTAACGGTGTACGAGACGCACTTTGTGCCACTCGGCGAAAGGTTGAGACCGGGACTGAGTGGTTTCCTAAGCGGCGTTCTCTTAGGCCTAGAAGACGGATCCGATCACTTCGACAGGTGTGATTTGCATTGTTATCTTTGCAGCACTTCTTTATGCACACACATTCGTAAATAATATATAGATTTGAGAGTAATGTCGAAATTTATCGGGGTGTTATTTCACCAGAACTAACTCCTTGCTGGAGAAAGTGTGCGAGGGTGTGGGTGCGGAACACTTTTATGCATGCCTCTGGGACTGCTTGGCTTCGAACTCTGGCATTCGATTGCCCGCGATATCATTCGTGCTGGCACATTTTAACAAGAAACTGTCGATGGAGCAGCAAAAATATATTATGGGTACTAATACTAAAATTATGGTAAGAAAAAATTTTGCATTTAAACGCCATGTATTGTCCTAAGATTTGATCCTCTTAATAACGTATTGATTTTTATAAAAGATTTCAGCCTTGTGTGCTGGAGTGCAAGACACGTCGGTGCTAGTGCAGAGGAGTGCACTGGATTTTCTGTTGATAGGCTTCCCAATGCACAACAGTCAATTAGCGCGTCCAGATATGATATTGTTAATAAGAGCTGCTTTAGTTACTATATTGCGAAGGGACATGAGCTTAAACAGGTAAACGAGACCGCGATGTATAATAATTATTTCTTCATATCTTTATATATTTTTTATATACTTTTTTTTTCCTATCGTATAATTGTAGACGTTTGTTTGCTTGGCTGTTGGGCACCGAAGTGAGCACATCAATTTTAAAGAAGAAGAGCCTCGCGACTGCAAACACTAAAGACGATGTAACGTACTTTGATATGTATTCGAAGGAAATGCTAGTCGAAGCGATAAAATATCTGCTTAAAGAAGTGTGCGAGGAAAATTCACAAGATCTGAAGCCATATAGGATACTTGTGTCGTTACTCGATAAAGTCGACATTGGACCAATAATTTTGGATGATATTCTGTTCGAAGTGTTCAGGTAAGATCATCCGCGTGCCATTAGATATTATTATAAAATAAAAATTGTCGAAGTTTTAAAAGCATTTTTCAATATATTTTCTAACAACCGCGCATTATACGTTTCAGGACATTTTATAACGCGTGCAAACAAACCGCGTCGAGTCACGCGCCGAAAGCGAACGAAGTGGTGAAGTCTGCGAACCTGTTGTTCTCGACTTTGGAACCGTCTTACATCTGGATACACTGCGGGCATCTGTTCGAGAGAGCCTGTAACACCCGTGCGAAGACGCAGGTCGCGATCGAGGACGTTGCTGTAAGACCGGTCGGTAGCGGAATGCCGAATCTCGTGGAAGTGTGCGTGCTGACGGAGTTCTTGCTCGAGACCGTGTCGTTGGACGCGTTCATAGACACGCCGTCCGAACATCTTCCTGGCTTATTTTACGAAATAACCAGCAAGCTTTTGCATCACAGTGGCATCCTGTCCCCGACGGAGATCTCGAAGGGCCTCAAGTTGTGCGCCAAGATCTTGTCGAAGGTGCAACCGACGATGATAACGGCTCACGCGGACAAGCACGAGGTGGACGTCAAGTTGGACACGTCTCTGAACAGCATTACGGTACCCAGCGATAATTCCCTGACGGCGATCCCTTTAGAGAAGAGCCAGTCGGACAGCAAGTTGAATAAGCCCGATACATCCAGTATCATCCCCTTCGTGGAGAAGAGCCCGAGTACGAGAAGAAGAGCCAATTCCGGCGGTGCCGCTAAAAGGAGCGAGAAGAAGTCGAAGAAGAAGGCGAGTAAAAGCACTCCCAAGTTAAGCGACACGTACACCATACAGGCCGACGGCAGCAGTATATCCGTCGTGGTGAGCGAAGACGCGAAATCTCTGCCTAGAAATAAGAGCATGGACGACATTAAAGCGAGCTGCATCGAGGCCGATGGAATCTCCTCGTCGAAGAATCAGTCTTCGGACAGCCATCTGCCCGCGTTGAAACACTTCAAGAACGTTACTCCAATGGGATCGACGGGATCCCTGTGTAGGGGACCATCTCCGGCGTTTCAGGCGCAGCACTCCATGTTGGAAAAGTGCCTGCGGCAGTACGAGATATTTTACGTTAAATTAATTAGCAACCGGATACTCAGCCGCGAGAGAACGGTGCAGGATATGTTCGATCACTTAGTGGTGTCCTGCCCGAGAAAGAGTTTCGACGAGAGAATGCGTTACCTGGAATTCCTGCTGAATTCGAAATTAAACGTAGACGACTCCGGATTCTTTAGCCAAGACACATCCGTAACCGAGGACACCAAGTGCCTGGATATTTTTCACCTGTTCCTCGACGTAGCGACGCACTCGGAGTGGATCGAGACCATGAAGATAGCGTCCAGCCTGTTCGTCGAACTGTCCACATTTCCGAAGTACTTTTTGCCCGGCGACGACGTACTCGTGGAGGAGGAGCCCAAGTTCGAGCACGTCCTTCCAGATTGGTTGAAGGTTTTAATAGTCTGCTCCTGCTGGCTGCAGAGGCAGCCCGCGTTACAGCTAACGAGCATCGCCACGCTACTGGACTTGGTGGCGTTGCTGAAGGCGCACAACGACGTCGAGACGCATCCGAAGAGTGGCGAGGGTATGACGACGGTTGTTATCGTGCCTCTGTTAAAGCAGTGGCACATAACTTACTTAATGCACTATACTAATGTGTTCCAGGTACGTCCTGCTGGTATTTTTGCGTACCGATTTTTTTAAAAAATATTAAATAGATATAAATATTAAATATTTTTAATGTAAAGGTATTAGCACATTCCTTGTGGAATCATTTGGGCGAGCTACCCACCCATAAGTTCAGGATGCGTTGCGTGGAACTGCTGCACGAATTGCATCACGCTTTATACAATTCCTGCGATGCAGTCGAGGATCTAATAGGATCTGCGCTCACCTTGGAGAATCCCGAGAAGAGGATCGAGGCCTTCGGTAGATTCGCTACTTTGTGGCATTTAGGACGAGAAATCGAAACGAATCCGAGATTGCGCGGCTGCCTCAGAATTTTCGACCAGTGAGTAAAAGAAGTTTTTAATATTTAAATATGTAATACCACAATTTTTTCACAAATTTTTTCTTCCGTTGTCTGATATAGATCCTTGTTGAAAATGTTGGACAATCTTCAACTTGCGGACAATTCGCCGTTAAAGCTGCAGGCCCAATCGTGGCTGCTACATTCCCTGATGCGCGGCGACATATCACGCGTAATAGACCCCCTGCTGACAATACTATTAGATCCATCCACGTGTCGTATGAGTGTTCTTCACGTGAGCATACAACACAGTAATACCGTCCTAACGAAAAACGATCCCGTGGAGGAGAAGTCGGAGTCGGTCCAAGACGACACGGAGGGCGCCGCGAAAATTTACGCGATCAGTTCGGTCGATGGCAATGTGATTTATCACGTGAGCGATAACGTGGACGAGGATAAGAAGTGGAAGAAGGGCAGGAAGAAGAAGCAGGCGATAAATCCCGTGAAGATAAAACGTATCTTCGCGGTGACAACGCTGGCGGCCGGTGATAACTGTAATCACTACGTCACGGAGAGGAATCAGTTCATGAAGGAGCTCGAGGTACCGCCCAGCATATCCGGCAACAGGAAGATTTCCGTGTTCGTGAATCCTCTCTCGCTCAACTGTAACGAGAACTCGAATGACTCCTTAACGGAGGACGACTCGCTGCCGAGTATGCGTAAGACGAACTTAACGACGGAGTTGCTGAGGAACGCCACCCGCTTCAAGAAAATCGACTTCGACAAAGGTTCTACTGCCAGTTTAGACGAGAGTCTCTTTGAATCGGCGAATTCCAGCGCGAAGGCGAAGGATAAGAGTAGCTACAAGAAGCTGAACGACGATGTCGACTCGTCGTCGGATTCCATCACCAACAGCTTGGACTCGAGCAGTCCCGAGGCGACGAACAAACAGTCGAAGCAGAAGAAGGAGACTGTCATAATGCCAGGCAGTTCCAGGGAGGTGGCGGGCACCATCATAAAGGGCAGGTATTACAGCACGAACGAGTTCAGCGCGAATTACGACCACGATATCGGCAGCTTCGAGGCGAGCGCGGAGGTGCCCAGCTGGACGATGGACGACGACGACGGCGAGCTGGATGTCAGCACCACCGCGGAGGAATACTTCAGCAACTCCAGCACCAGTATAGTCGAAGAGATCCTGAACGAGGTGCTCGATCGCGCGATGCAACTGTGCGACATCGCCGAACCACCTAAAAGCGCAAGTATCTCGTTATTTAACTTTTCTGCTTAAAATATCCGATAGATAATGATAAAAGTGGGTTTAAACTTCATTGAAATTTTATCTAATTTTATAGTACTAGTATGTATATAACAGGCCCGCGATTCGTCACTCTTCATCACCATTTTTTATATCATGTAATTTTTAAACAAAAAATTTTTTTTTGAAAATTTTTCATGTGATTTTTAAAGTAAAAATTTTTTTTTCAAAATTTTTTATAACGTGATTTTTAAAGTAAAAAATTTTTTTTTTAATTTTTTATATCATTTGATTTTTAAAATAATTTTTTTTGACTTACCATCATCCACCACCACTACCCAGCACTATCACCCACCACCACCACCCACCACCACCACCCCCCCACACCACCCACCACCACCCACCACTACCACCCACCACAATTACTCTTTATCACCATTTTTTTATATCATGTAATTTTTAAACTAAAAATTTTTTTTAATTTTTCATATCATTTAATTTTTAAAATAAAAAAATTTTTTTTTTACTTGTATAGGTTTCTTCTTATCTAATTCTATCGGATCTTTTAAACAGGGATTATCTGACAATAAACATCGCGATATTCTTTCAACGATTTCTTTCCCCTGCAGGAGGAGGTTCCGCAGCACAACGCGAAAACTAATCGAAACGTCGGCCTGGGTGTTCACAATCTTCACTCCCACATGTTGCTCTACTGTGGGGTGTACGACTCGGCGAGAACGCTCTACGCTCTGCGTACCCTCAGGAACGAACTCTTGACGAACACGCGAATGTTCCTGTGCTGCGCGGCAACGACCGGTGTAACGAACGCGACGAAGAACACAGTGCTGTTAAACTTGTTAGCGAGACATAGGAAAAGTGTCTTCGGCAGGAACTTTCATGGTGATATAGCTAACACGGAATTCATAGCGGCTTACAGGAGTAGCATGTATCTGGAAGTGTTGATAAGCGTGTGCCTGTACTTTGCGAGAAGCTACTATCCAAATCTGGGGCAAATGAGACTCACCTGCGAAGAGATCGCGGGTAATCGTCAGGTATGTGCTCAATTTTTTTGTAATTTTAAAAGCATTTTGAGAAAGATACAATTGATGATACAACGATTGATTTATTATTTTTTTTATTAAGGAGTTAAAAAAATTTAATTAAATATTTTTCTATTAAACTTATTGATTATTTTTAGTTTAAATGAATATTGTTAATCCTGCATTTTGACAAAAAATATCTTTCACACAGGTGCAACTTGCGAGTGCGGAGTTACTGACCCTAATATTTTCCGAGTTAATCCCGATCGTTCGCGACTCTGGGAAAGGCTTTAGTTGTTACATAGTTGATTTATTGACTAAATGTAAAGTACAAAAAGTTGCTCTGCACTGTCTTGTGTCCAGTGTCATGAGTATGAAGAACGCTCACAAGGAGAACGAAGATGTTTTCACGTTTACGGAAGAAATCGTATTGTTTAATGATCCGTTTATCGACAATGATGTTAACAAATGTAAATACAGAGCGAGCGATCACACGGAAGCTTTCCAGATACAGTTGTTACGGTAAATATTCGACAAATTCAACAAGATTGTTTCGCTAATCCACGACTGGATCGTATAATTCTGTGTAACGATTGATTTATTATTTTTCAAGGTTATTATTAACGTTAATTATGTTGGAGCATCAGTGTAGTAGTCAGAAAGGAGAGGAAATTAATTCGACGACATTGCCCATACCAAGCTCACCGACACGGACATCAAACTTGATTGGAAACAGTTTGAAATACGTTTCTGGGGCAGCAATACCACAGCAACCGATGTTCCTCGCTAGTATTCTCAGCGCCCTGCAATTAGTATGTTATTTGTTTCAATGTATATTGTCAGATCGATCCAAAAATTTATGTATATTTTTATATTTTTTTAAACAAGATAGCCAAAGCACAGTATATATTTTAATAAGTCGTATAATGTTTTAAAATTATAAATATCGACTGTATAAATTACGAATTGATCTGATTAAGCAGAAAATGATAATCGATTACCAACGAAATGAGTGTTGTTTTAATCGATATAAATTTTGTAGGATCATATGAGACACCTTCATCAACATTGGACCACCCTTGTCACGTCCAGCCTGCCTTTTATGGGACCGTCTTTAACATCCGTTGTAACGTCAGTTATTCATCAACTGTGCAACAACATTGAACACCTAGCGTCGTATTACATCAGCGAAGAAGCGACATTGACGTCGAAATTACAAGACATAAGTACAGTGGATTGCTGCTTGCCCGCAGATTATACTGTGACACATTTGGAGGCTTTGACATACTTGCTGCATTACTGCCTACTGGACACCTCCCAGCAAATCGGATTCTCGTTTAACCAGCCATTAAGCGGTACGATACAAACGGGAATTCCTGGTGCTAATCCCGGGCAGATATTCAACAATCTTATACACGTCTTCATGCCCAGCCCACTTTCTCCGGTTAGTTGGATGAAATTCAATTATACGATACAATTAGGCGATATGTTATTCAAATAACAAAGAGTTTTGGTTTTTTTTTTTTCGTAGGATTTATCCACCACGAAGGATAAAAGTGGCGCGAATGAGCTGCAACAACACGCCAGAAGAACAGCACTAAGTCATTTGCCAAGAATAATAGCGTCATTGTCTGCCTTGTGGCAAGCGGTTCTGGCGACAAAAGACAAGTATATCTCATTCGTATTCTTTACTCAAATATGTAGAGAAAAATTGTTTACATTGTTTTAATGCATCCTTTTAATAATATCGCACAGCGAACAAGCCAGTTGTGTGGTGGGTAGTCCGAGAATCGTCAAATATCAATTGTTGGAACTCCTGTCTCCAATCTCTTTCCATCACGGAGCCAACTTCTTGGCTGCAGTCGCGGTTGCCTGGCACGAAAGGCGCCAACCATCCGCCGCATCGAAAAAGGTAACCGATTTAATTTAAGAGATATAAATAATATAATGAGGAATAACTAACAGCAGTTTCGCGGAAAGAGTGCTTTTTCTAATTGCAATTTGCTTCGGTGCAGATACTTCCGGAAGCTTGCCCCAACCAGCAAGTAATGGTTCACCTTGTCAGTGCGATACGTGTCATGCCCATTGACACTTTGGTGCACACCGTGCATCAAGTAGTGAAAACGCCACCGCCGATACACGGAATCAAGCAAGACTTCTCGCTGGAAGTCTCGGTGCTGGAATTACTTTACGTCTACATGCAGAGTAACACGTCGCAGTCGCTTATCGAGTCCTGGGCATCCTTGCTTAGCCTATTGAAGGACGGTCTGTCGCTAACAGCGCCTGCCCAATTTCTCTTGCTGGCTATACTGAACGAATATGTACAAAAGTGCCCGCCCATGCAAGAGAAGAAAGATATCAAAGACCTGCAAGACGTATCTGCGAAGGTTATTATCTTATAGTTCATTATAATAATTAATAATACGGTTACTGTTTTAATAAATATTTAATGAATGCTTTAAAATAAACATTTCAGTTGATCGAGTCGTGTTCGCAAATAGCTGGTGCCTGTTTAGAGCAAACGACATGGCTGAGGAGGAATTTGGCCGTCCGCGAGGACGTTTTCGAAGTGGTCGAAGGTTCTTCGGAAGGCAAAGAGGGAAAAAATGGTGCTGGTGCGTAAAACATGCAATTTATTTTGTAGACATATTCAAGGAATCTTTAATTTAACGTAACGGCAAATTCTATTTTTGTTATCTTTCTTCTTTCTTATGCAGTCTGACAATTGCAAATAGCTCTATGTTTCTTCAGCAATATATTCATGATTAAAAGCTTTCTCTCTCTCTCTCTCTCTCTCTTTACAGTAACACCCGGAACTCCACCTAACGCGGCGTACAGTGTTCAAGCGCAAGCGGTATTAGCGGAAATACTCGCGCCTCTATTGGACGTCAGTTACGGTTCGCAGGAGAAGGAGCGTGTGGTAACGCTCCTGACAAATCTCATGTACAATGTTACACCTTACCTAAAGAATCACACGTAAGTTTAAAAAAGTAGGCTGCTATCTATATATAATTTATATATACGCGATTGTCACTTTATTCGAGACATCGAAATTTACCTCGTTTTTTTATTTTTTTTCCGAAACTGTTATTTTCTATTTAATTTTTATTTCTAAAAATTGAATGACGTGAACATCGAAAAAGACTGATATGACCGTAAAAATTTTATTATTGTTTTTTCCTGACAATGAGATTCAGAGACGCGAGAAAGAATAACGCCTGGACTTTGTCTACTCTAATCGTCTATCTATTTTTACAGGATAAAAAATATCGCCTCGTTCACCGCCTGTTCGCAACTGTTGGCTTCCTTGTCGGGATATCAGTACACGAGAAAGGCATGGCGCAAGGACGTTTTGGACTTGCTACTCGACTCGGCCTTTTTCCAAATGATACCTGCCTGTCTGCCGTATTGGAGAACCATAATCGATAACCTGATGACGCACGACAACACCACCTTCAGAGATTTAATGAGTAACGCACATTTTGCTACATCTACGCGATACATGTGTGTACTTGTTATAATCAAATTAACACATTGCGACTGTCCCGCGAATAGATCGCGTTTCCATGGCTCAAGGCAGCGGGATCAGTATATTTTCTTCGAAGGAGCAGGAATACGAGCAGAAAGCGCAGCTCTTGAAGCGTTTGGCGTTCGTCATTCTTTGCAGCGAAATGGATCAATATCACAAATACATGCCGGAGATACAAGGTAAATAATCGCGGGATATATTACGTATTTATGGAATATATCACGTATTTATGGGATGTATCACGTATACGTATAACGTTTTCACACACGTACACCGGTTATATTGTTTTCAGAACGTTTAGCGGACAGTTTACGCCTACCTCAAGTAATCCCGTCTATTCAGGCGCAAGTGTTTCTCTGTTTTCGCGTACTGCTATTGAGAATGTCGCCACAGCACGCGACGTCTTTGTGGCCGGTCATAGTTAGCGAGCTCGTTCAAGTATTCCTGTACATCGAGCAGGAACTGAATACGGACAGCGAAGAGTTCAGGTACGCGAATTCTTCTGATCCACGTGCTTATTGAGCAAACTCGCTTATGGGACGCTGTTGCTATGTGCATGGTATACGTTTACTTGTAATTACGCGAGTAATTGTTATCATTTTATTCGAAACATCGAGATTTACTTCGTTTTTTTATTTTCTATTTAATTTTGATTTCTAAAAGCTGAATGACGTGAACATCGAAGAAGACTGCTGTAATAAACATCTTTCTATGAAGATTATTAGGGTACTGGCATGATTGGTAATATTTTCGCGTCAATTTTGAAATCGATAATCAGATCCGATAATCACCAATGTTGAAATGCTCGAAGAATCTTATAATACGTAAAATAGTAACGCGAGAAAAATTTATGCGATTTACTTCTCGGGGTCTTATATATATGTAGAGATTGAAGATGTTAAACAGAATATTTGTCTGTGTATGTCAGCTCCCTCTTCCCCCCCCCCCCC